ACTCTCATAACTTATGAATTAAAGCTAATATTTATAATTATATACATTATAAGTATATACATCTCAGAAATTATAACTTAAATATTATCACTTGGATTTATATCAAGTGTTGTTTTTACAACTATAAAAATTATAGTTTTTACAAGTATTAGTAGTAAAATTAATGTTATTATTTTGAAAAAAAAGGTACATCCCTCAGATTAGACAGGATAAGGTGTATGATAGTAGTATAGCTGTAATAACTAAAGGAGAAAGGATATGAACTTGAAGTAAAGGAGGAAGAGCTTGATTAGTATTGTTATTAAATAATAAAGTACTTATAACTTTATAAGAAGAGAGAGATTAATAAACAAAAACAGTAGCTCAACTCTCAGAAAAGGAAGGGATATACTCTAGAGATATAGAGGTAGAGTAAGAGTAAGAGGTAGAGGGGAGTGTAAGAAGGAGATAGTAGAATATAATTAAATAATTTCAAGTTATTATAATAAGCCTATTCCTACAATGTAAACATTAATTTCATTAGTAAATAAACTTTTAAAACTAATAGAGTATAATTACCTTTGTTTCCTAGTCAAATTAGTCTAAATAGAATCAAATTTGAATTTGTGTACTGAGAATATGCACATAGATACAGTGGGCAAATTCCTTTCCCACGGGGTGTCCACATGTAGGTCAGACACGTCAAATGACACTTTTTGATTTGTCGTTTTATAAAATCAATAAAATATTTAAATTCCTATTTTTTACAAAAATAAAACCAACATTTTGTAGACAAGATGTTGTAATTTATGAATATAATTTTTTTGTACTGTACAGTAGTTGTGGCAAATAGTAGTAGGTGAAATGGCCTTAAATTGACCACATGGGGCACCACGACAGTAGTTGGTAGATGGCTTCAGATTGAAACTTAAAAGATATTCGCATTTATAAGCGTGAGACCAACCTACCTGATTAATCACAAGGATCGACGCAGACGTTACTTGTCGACTCTCTCGTCCATCCAACGAGATATCAAAGCATTCCATACTATTAATCAAACCGTGTCTGGCAAAGATAGGGCTGATTCAGGACCTGCAAGAGGAGACAGGTTGTACAATTCCTCACCCATGACTGATACGTCTGGTTCAATCAGGAATTTCGAGCAGTGCTTCGGGCAATAGCAATCGTTCTGGCAGTAGCCCGTAGCGACTCTCAGCAATCTAGTTCATTAATGTCGGTAGAACATGAGAACGTCAAGGGAAAGCAGAAATAGTGATGGAGACGATAATTAGAGTAAGAGAGTTTCGAACTTTGCTTATGGTCACGAAGAGAAGGTTGCCTAACTTTTTGTCCTTGCTTTTGATTACATGCGTTTGCAACAGTGGACTTGCTGTGCAAAATCCGGATTGCAGAGGCAACAGTCTCAATGCATCAGGTGACTAAGTCCCTGTAGGTGCATCTGCAGAATCTACTCCATTCCCCGTGTCCAGGATCCATAGGCAGTAACGAGCTCGAAAATCAACTGTGCCCAATGCTAGTGTTGTGGAACAATCTAAAGCGGAAGGGCAGGCAATGCACCACATCATGTTTCGGTGCAATGCATTCGGCCTTGAGGGTGGAGGGCTCTTACGCCTTGTCTGCAGCATCCTGCAAATACAGAGATCCGTAACAGCGTTGCCTGATATAGAGTATATTTTATGCTCAGAGACGAAGGTGTCTTAATTCGTGTTCTGAGCCTGAGGATCTGGCAGTGGCTAGACCGCAGTTCAAGGGGGCTGAGACGCTATACATAAACCTGATACAAATGCCTCTAGAGATCGACCCATCATCTCCTGCAGTTGATACAGAGGGCGAATCGTTTTATACAGCAAATTAGACTATCGAGTTGACGTTCTACCTCAATGCCTCATATCTTGCTTCCACTGTGAAGGACTAACCACTGATGCCCAATGCAGGTTCATGTATATATACCCTTTTTTTCTCAGTGTATGACCACAGTTCAACAACCATTTCCCTCTACTTCCTCTGTAAATCGTCTCAATAGAGCTCGATTGTGTCCCAGATGAACTATTTGATCTTGCAGAAGGAATTTTGACCGGAATACTCTTGTCTTACAGTCGGACGAAGGAGAATCGCAGTTCGTATCATCTTTTATTCTTGCAATTCCTATTAGAAGACAGCTAATCCGGGCCATAACTTTACTAGTAGCTTGTCTTTAAGTTTCACTTTCTACTACACTCTGTTCCCAGATGGCAAACCAGACTATTGACTACAGGCGTGCTTACTCAATTGTCACTCGCTCAGATACTGTGGATGTTGAACAGTTGATTGTCTCCGAATTAATTGCTTCAAAGTACTTTGCTGTAGCGGTCTTGACTATATTAGTCCATTTTGCTCGTTTGTATCACAATTTATTGAGCCAGGAATTCACTGACAAGAGCATAATTCAAAGTAGCAACATTTGATAAACTTTGTTGGCTTGCAATACTTCAATATTCCTTACATTCAAGAACTGCTCCAATTGAAAAGTTGGTTATAAAATGTAAGCATAACAAAGCTCAGTAGAAGCAAGATGCTGGTTGAGATGCATTGTCCAGGGCTCGTCATACAGCCAGGCTTTGATATCAAAGTATCAAGAGAGATTGTTGATTTGTCTGCTTCAGTTGATAACATTAGACTCAGGGCATTATTGGAACATCAAGAACAAACTTTTTTCACCAAGTAACGTTAGATTTCGGAAACTACTTTGTCAACTCAAAACACATAGTTGTAATAGTTGCTTGTGTCTTTTCAGGTTTCATCTTGCTCCTATAAGGACGGTTGTTTGGAACGACAACTGACAGAATTACAATAATGAAGATGTACGAGGAAATGATATTCAGTTGCAGGCAGTTCCACGATCCGATAGATCATTGAGCAGGAAGAGTGATTGATGGGAGAGAAATCTGAAACTGTAGAAGACAGACCTATTGATGCAGAAGCAGATACAATAGATTTATCTCCAAAAAAGGCAACTGTTCTTACAATTGATGCGAAGGACAAGGCCAGCAGTGTTTCCGTATCATTACTATCATTTGCTTGGCCCAAGCTTCGACCGGAGTATGATTCTTACGCTCTATACATCGGAAGAAGTATACGTGTGTGTGATTACGGTTCACGTCCATGGTTCTTATAGGACAGGTAGTCCTGGACGCCGGTTCTCTGTCGTTCTCTCTTTCCGATGGCAAGCCAGACTCTTAACTATGGGCTTAACTTCACATTCTTCAATGACTCAGACATTTTAAACGCCGAACCAAGTGTAGTGCGATTACTTGTTTCCGACTTATCCACCGACCAGTACTTCAAGGTGGCACTGTTGACGGTATTAGTCTACTATGCTGGTTCGTACTGTAATTCCTCAAGCCAAAATTACGCTGACAGAACTCATTCCAAGTTACAACGATGGATAAAGAGGTACGGCTTTTGTGGATACATTAATCAAATATAAAGCTTACTTGTGTCTCTGCAGATAAAATACTTTTGGGTGAGTTCGAGAACTACTTAATGAATCGACAGTGCATTGATGGTGACGAAGCCTGAGCCGTTCAACTCTATTAGTCTGATATACTTTGCAGTGAGAACTGACGGTGCTTTTAATGCTTGGATACAATCTAATCCAGGTGCTCAGAATCGCTGCGTAGGAGTTCTTGGGATAATTTGTTTTATGATCAGTAAGAAATTTCTTGAAATGTGGTGCATATAGAAAGTGATTGTCACTGGTATTAAAATCCAGGCAATGCATCAGGAAAAAGTCGCATTTCTTATAATATATTGTAGACTTTGTAAAGTAACATAAGTATTGTATATATATTGTAAAGTAATTACAAGACTTGCAAATCAATTGTAAAGTTTGTATAAGACATGTTAATGTATATAAAGGCTAAGTAAGTGTTATGGATGAATACAATCTGTTAAAAGTATTATACTAACTTTGTATAATAGCCTAAAGTATTATGCTTGCATTACATTTTTATTATAATTTCAAAGAAAGGGTAATATTTACAATATAATAATGTAACAATAACTATTGTTGCCTTATAATTTATGTAAAAGGTATATTAATGTATATAATAGTGTAAGAGCACTTGTTATATAATTATTATCTTAATAAAAGTATACTATAAGTATATAATATGTATATCATACTTAGACTATCTATACAAATAGTTTACAATTATTGTAAAAAGCATTTTATCTACTTGTAATAATTACATCAGTGTGTTTAGAAAGCTATATACATGTCATATTACTTTTTACTATTATTACAAAGTAGATTAATTATTTTATTTTATACCTAAATACAATAATTGAAATGTTCTATCAGTTGACGACTCATATTATAGTTGCTTATGTAATCAACTGCTGAAGATCG